TGGATGGATTTTAGTGAAACTTTCAAAAAGCGATGACTGGGTGTAAATCTGGAAATAATTAACATTTTTAATTTCAATGTAATTTAAAAACGTCTGTCATAACTAATCAACCATAGCCAATGGCTAGAACTCAAGTCAGTTGTATGGATACTGACCTATACAACTTGGTGTGGTAGGAGAGTAATCTGCAACACATAGGCCTAGTTCACTACATACTCCTCAGTTGAGCAAGACTTTTGCTTAAAGCTTTGACATGCAATTTGGTGAGGGAGTGTCCTGATACTGATCAGCTTCACAGCATCTTCAAGGCTTTATCTGTTTTCAATTTATTTTGCTCAGAGTCCCATCCCATTTATTTTATGGGTTTTCTAAGTAAATTTTTCATTAAGCATGTTTAAAATGTTGTTAAGGATTCATATGTTCTATGTACTTTGAGCCACTGACCATATTATTTTGGGACATTTTCTAAGATCTAAACTATATTTTCTCATACACTAAGCAAAAACCACACCTCTAAGTATATTGTTTTAAAGGTCTAATGGTCGCTGTTGCATTTTTCTGCAATACAGCACTGTTTTTGCAGCAATTACTCTTATCCACGTGAGGGAACAAAGTGAAGTCAAGTTTTTTTCAACTATAACTTTGCCACTAGATGTCACTACTTTCTATGAGTTCTATTTTATGAACTCCAAGTGTAATATACAGGTACACTTGGCGTAAAACAATAGTGGCTTCAAATACATAGAAACAGAAGCATTCATTTTCCTGACTGTTCTATTTCAAGGGCTGGATAGGCCCCGTTTTAAAATTTTTCTCATGAAGAACAGACAATACAAAGAAGAGTTTAAAGTAAAAGTGAATTTGTTCCACTTCTGAATTGTTATTCTTTTTCTTACACCTTCTGACTGACACTCAGCTGTAGTGGGTGGTGCAGTAGGCCTAAAGCATGCTACAGTGTGGTGCATCCAATGAGCTGGAAGGGATTCATCTGATCACAGAACACTAACAAAAAAAATAAAAATACCTTGCATCACTGGCTTACTTATAGCAGAAATTTAAGCGCGCTTCTTTTCAAGTTAAAGTTCAAGTCAACTTTATTGGCATTTCCATCAAGTGGTACATGAGGTGGAATGAAATTATGTACACAGGATCCCAGTTACACCGAAAAATAGCAAACTATAAAAAGAAACAGTAAATATTGATCTAAGATATAAACTAAGATATACGCTAAACAAATGTCAAACAGTACGATAAAAGATCTAAAATATTGGCTAAACACTAACAATGTAAAACAATGCGGTGTAATAACAGCAGTTTGAACATGAGTTTGTGCTGAGCAGATGAGTATGAATGAGTACACCAGCATGAGATAATCAGCAGCATGAGATCAGTAGCATAGCTAATCAGCAGCACAGATAAGTCACATATCACCAGTTAAAGTGGCATTACAGTGATTTTTCTTGTTTTCTTACAGTGATTATCCTGGTTAGGGTTTTATGAGTCTACCAACTTCAGGGTAGAAGCTGTTCCTCAGTTTAGTGGTTCTGCACTTAATGCTCTGCAACCTTCTGCGTGAAGGGAGCAGAGCAAAAAGTGTGTGTGCTGGGTGAGAGGGGTCCTTCATGATGCTGGTGGCCCTCTTCCTGTATCTGGAGTAGAGTTGCACTCGTGTCCAAAAAATTAGATCCGAACTGACCCCAGCTCGCAGCCATCAGCTCCAAACCCCACCCGAACCAACGAAATAACAGTAACTACAGGTCCAAACCCGAAAAAACTGACATTTTTAATTAAGCTTTAACTGCTTATACCACCGACTATTATTAATGGCCGGTGGACGCGTGTGGCTGAGTAAAGGGGGCAGAAGATTGGAGCTGAGGAGCTATCAAAGCGCATTAAATGCTTCCCCTGCTTCTGCCTGCATTGAACCCTGCTCTGACATGTTAGATATTTTGTGACCTCACTTGTTTGGATCGTCGGCCATGCACGTCCACTGAGTGCATCGACTGAATGAACATCCATTTGGGCTGATGGATCGCTGGCAGTAGTCCATCTGTAGCTTAATGGAACTTTTTACCTCTTTCAACCGGTCAGCGCGCGGTCAAATGGCCGCGTGCAGCAGGTGATAGTATGGCAAGCCATGTTAGCATATAATTGGATCGTCGGCCACGCTCGTCCCTGACGCAAAAAAAAGCCCAACACCAACCCGGCCTGCACATTAAGCACATTATTATGGCCCAGCCTGGTCCAAATCCGGGTCAGGTGGGGCCGGGCTCCGGGTTTGTGTTAGAAAATACAGCTCTAATCTGGAGGTGTAGATGTCTGTGGTGGTGGGGAGGCTGACTCCAACAGTCTTCTGAGCAGCCTTCACCACTCTCTACAAAGCTTTCCTTTCTACAGCTGTGCAGCCTCCATGCCACACATTGATGCTGGAGCACAAGATGCTCTCCACTGCCTCTTAATACCAGCAGCCAGCTCTTTCCTTGTCCTCCCTAGGTCCTGTGAGTCGCCAGACCTGAAGACAGGATCCCTGACTTTCAGCATGGTACAGACCTCTGTGTTCAGCCAGGGTTTCTGGTTCAGGTAGGTGGTGGTGACATCATCAACACACTTGATGATGTAACTACTCCTAATAAATATAATTCAACACATTTGTTCATTAACTGATTTTAGACAAACATTGAGGAGGAACATAAGAAAGGAGAGACCGAGGAAAAGATCCACTGGCAAAGAAAACAGCAAACACTTCTCTACTTGCCCACTGTTGCTATGTTACCAAAACATTTTTTTAAAGCAAGAGTTATTTTCAGACAAGCTGGAAGCAAAATAACCACTGTTACAAAAAGGACAGATGTGTAATTGGTAAAATAGGATATTTTTGTGTAATATTACAAACAAAACAAGAGAATAGATTGGTGTGACAGCAGGTTTAGAACAATATTGTTATTGCAAGAACAAGGTCTGAGGAGCTATGGACATTCAGCATCACCCCAGAAAATCAACTCATATTACTAAACTGCTGACACGAAAAGCCTTTTAGGCACAGTTTTCTGTGGTTACAGAACTGTAACCATATGATTTTACATTGTTACATCTTTCTGTAAGAAGTGTCTCTAATTTTGAAAGTAATATGCTCATCATTCTCATTCCACACACGCTCCCACAATGGTGTCCCAGAAAAGTCTTCTCTAAGACATCAGTACAATTCTCCACTCTTCTACATGGAAAGCACTTTAAAGTTGTGAAAAAATCTATCTTGAATTTGATGGCTGCAACACATCTAAAAAATAGTTGAGACAGGACCATGTTTTTAACTGTGAAGTATCCCCTCTTCTTTTAAAAGTCTATAAATGTCTAACAACTGAGGAGACTTGTTGCTGGAGTTTTTGGAGGAAACGTTTTCCAATTCTTGTCCGATATAGGATTCTAGCTTTTTAACAGTCCTGACTGTATAATTTTTTTAATGTCATAATGTGCCAAATTTATCAAATGGTAAGAGCTCTGGACAGCAGGCAGGTCCATTTAACACACAGACCCTTGTAGTACAAAATCAGGTTGCAATAGATGCAGCATGTGTTTTAGCATTACCTTAATGAAATGTGCAAGGCTTTCCCTGAAAAAGTTATATAGATGGGAGCATACTGAGCTCATGCAGTGATGCATGTAAGAGTCCTGTTGTTAATGCAGCCTGAGGGCCCAAAGATCACAGATATCCAAGATTTCACCCTCATCTTTTGAGCACAGAGGTTTCTCTACAATCTTGAAATGTTTTGCTGGTAATATGGGCTGTATTTCAAGTCTTATTAATTCTCCATTAAGGAATTCTGAAAGTGTTCCACTGTGTTTATTTCCCTCGTTATTTTGGAAACCGGTGAACTTCTGCCTGTCTTTACTTTGGAGAGATTCAGCCTCTCTAAAATGCTTGTTTTTAATTCCCAGTCCTCTTACTGACCTGTTGTTATTTAACCCAATTCAAAGCAAAATGTTCCCCCATCTGTTTCTTATTTGGACCATTTCTACAGCCTTTGCCTCTGTCCCATCTTTACTTGATGAGTTGCTGCCATGTACCGTTTCATGGATACCACCACCTTTGGTTATGATAAAGCATTGTGGTCTGGTTTAGAGGCACCTGGTGTGCGAACGAGTGTGAAAATGGGTCGTGGACATCGCTGTGCCGTGTATATGTGCAACTATGATCACAGATTCAAGAACAAGTGAGAATATATGGACTAATGAAAACTTCTGATCGTCTCACCAAGGTCTACTAGTATTGATCTAGTATTATATTATAAGTCTATACTAAATATATTTATGTGGTTTACAGAGACTTAGGCCACGTATCAAATTTGCCGACAAATCATTTTGGACACTTAATATTACAGAATATATAGGTATGAACTACGTTAAGTAGTCATGGATTAGGCTCCTGCAAGTGCTACTTGCAACTAAACAGACCCCCCACCCCCACACACTTTACTTTATAGACTCTAACTGAAAGCATATAGTTCATTAACAGTCATAACTGGTCTCTCTATAAGAATGATTATAAATGAATAAAATACACCATGCAGAAGATTACAGACCACAATTTTAAAAAATGAATTTACCACCATTATAAGAAAGAAACATATATTAACCACTTAATATTTAGACAAAATATTATGTGCGGTCAAAAAGTAAGTTTTATATTCAACATTTATAAAATCATAGCTCGGTCTGCCTGCCTCTAGATTGTGGGTGCAGTATTTGACAAAACACAAGGCACAATTGAGACGTGGCAGCATCTGAGCCGACATTAAGTTTATTTTTTATTTAACAATCTAACACCTTATTTGAGGCAATGCATTTTGTAGAGATTTGTGCTAAGAAAATAAAAAGCACGTCAATAAAAATGGCCGTACATGTTTATTTCTGTAAAAAGCCAAACCTGCGCCATGCTGATAAGACACATGGATGGATGGGGAGGGAGAGGCGGGGTTTGGGTCACATGACCAATCAGAATCGGCTTTTGGAGCTGCGAAAGGCTTGGTGTTATTATGTAGTTTATCAGGATTTAACTTGGAATAAAATGCCTCGAAATCAAATTTACTACTCGGACCGATACAACGATGACCAGTTTGAGTACAGGTAAGCTAACTTAGCAGTTGTCACCTGTTACCTGTCAACCTGTAATGTACCTCTCTACCTGAGATGTGTATTTTCTAAAGAAATAATACTTCAGTTCAAAGATACCCCTTTTACATAGCACTTTTATTTCCTTTTAACGTGTATATTAAAATAAATAAGCTATTTTGGGAAATGTGCTCGTGAGTAAAACATGACTTGGATAAATCTCACCTGTTCAATTAATCCATCCATACGTTTTCTGATGTGTCAACACAGCTGCAACTAATTGGATGATCAAAATGCTGCGTTCAAATGTGCATTTAAAATATTAGACTTTACAGAGCTGATCGCAATTTTACATGTTTTGTTTCCCTTGCATTATTTGTTTCTGCCATTTGAAGTCGTATTTTTGTTATACAATGCCGCTTATTGGATATAGTTTCTTGTGCATCACACATCTGACCGCCTATATTAAGTTGAACATTTTATTTTACTATATCCCAGGGTATCAACCTAATATAATTTGTTTTGGATTGTAGATTCCTAAATTAAAACAAAATATAAACATTTGGATATGGGGTGCTTTTGACTAGATGTAAAAATTAAAATTTAATTGTAAACATGTTTTAAAGCAAAGATGTTTTCATGATTTTACAGTTGGTCCACAACGTGCAAAATGAACTTCATGGAGCCAATGGTTTTGAAAGTAAGATTAGAATGGATTTGTGTTTTCCTCTTTACAGTCCAGTTAAAATTCAGTAAGTTCTGCCCAAAAGAGAAGTTAACAACCAATCTGAGTCCAGATAAAGTTTAATTTAGGGGTTTGGACCATGTGGCCTCCTGTTTGGGGATAAAGTTTTATCAGTGCATTTGGTAGTGTTTATTTTGACTTTTACATTTCTGTAAACTGCAGAACTGCAAAGTTTAAAAGCTGTTTATTTTCTCATCTTGTCACATTCACAACAGATGAGAAACATATGACAACTCTGTACTGTTGCACACTTTGTTTGCAGAAAGAACGAGACAAAATATGCCTAGAAGTTATTCAATGCTTTTTAAGCAAAGTGTTGCAATTCTGAAATGTTAGAATGCATGTTGTTTACACAAAATACGGTTAAAATTGTAGTTTGTAGCTTTTTTTCCTCTTCCTAACTTACAAAGGTTGTCAAAAACTAAGGACACATATGTCTGAGATAATAGCATCCTGCTGAATAGTGTCCATATATCTGTCACAATTGTTTTGCAGGAGATATAAAGAGGGTAGTAATAAGAGTGTTTCTGGATAACTGGGGTAAAGCTTTTATTTAGGTTGATGATCTAAATACTTCAAGATTAATCCACCCACCTACCCCCTATGCTCCAAACTAGACATGTCTTTTTGCCTCGGGAAATGGTGAAGCACATCCCAAGATCCCACCTGCTGTCTGAAAGGGAGTGGAGGCAGCTGGGGGTGCAACAGTCCCAAGGATGGATTCACTACATGATACATGAACCAGGTGCAGTACGTCACAACCTGATCAAGATATTCCTGCTGATAACTGCAGAAAGGAATCCATACTGTAACCATCGAGCAGTTCTGCTGGCTTTAATGGTAAATAGTGAGAATGCCGAGAAGCTTGTTAACTTTAGTTTTGTTCAAATTTCCTTTCAGAGCCACACATCCTTTTGTTTAGAAGACCTCGGTCCAAACACAGACCCACTTCTGTCGTAACTCATCTGAAAGATGTAACATCATTTCTGAGTTAGTCAGAATTTTCTGCATTAGAAATAATTGTTGAAGACAATTCTCTTTGATTTGTTTTATGTTACAGAAACATGTTACTGAAATTCATTGGACCAGGACAAAATAAAGAATACTGTAGCCTCAAGTGAGGATGAACTGGACCGAACTTCATCAAATAACTTGAAGCTTCTATTAATGTTTTTCGTGTTAACAGATTATGTGGGAGAGTCCGAGTCTGTACCTTATTATATATATCAACGCAAAAATGTTTTTTTGTTCATATTTTTGCTGTCAACCCTTTATCTGAACACAAGAGGGTGGTGTGGCTCAAGTTGTGGTTTTAGTTACTTGGAAAATGTTAGTCTTATGCTTTGATACAAAGGTGTGGTCTTTAAATACCATATTTATGTTTGTTTGATCGTATATTTCTGTTGTAATATCAAATAAAAATGTTATTGTATTGTGTTGCAAATGATTAAGGTGCGCCATGTGTCATTGTATGTAACAATGAAATTAGTTCTCTGCATTTAACCCATCACACATGATACACCAGGTGGAGCAGCGGGCAGCTATGTACGCACCCAGGGAGCAGTTAAGGGATTAGGTGTCTTGCTCAAGGACACCACGACATGTGGGCATGGTGGGGAGTTGAACCTGCGACTTTCTGGTCCCAAGTCGGCTGCCCTACCTCCACCCCACAGCAGCCCCTCCAAAGCTTACAGCACCTGGTATTCCCAGGCGGTCTCCCATCCAAGTACAAACCAGGCCCAATCCTGTTTAGCTTCTGAGATTAGACGAGATCGGGCGTGTTCAGGGTGGTATGGCAGATTATCAATCTTTTACAACAGTATTCTGCTTTGGCATAATTTCTATTCTGTTTTATTTATTCTAAATTACGAGTCAAGAGTACTGTTGAAATTCTTGGTTAGTATAGTGTTCAGATAATGTGATGCATTCAAGTACAAACGGGACACTTAAAGTGTAGAGTTCTGTATTAAAACCATGTGCGGTCACAATTTAGAGGTTGACGTAAACATATCAACCTGCAACTTTTCAAATATTTGCAATATTTACTTTTTATGTTTTTTTTTTTTCCACTGATAAAGTATTAAAGTAAAGCAGTGTTGATTTTATTCAATCAAATTCATGCTAAATTTTAAACTTGATACATTTACTGTGAATAACAGATTTTTTGACCTAAATGTAGGAAAAATAAAAGTGCAATTAAAATACCTGGCACAGTTTTATTTAAAATGTCATAAGGTGGCAGTGAAGATCCGAGAACATAAAGTAAAAAGGCCTGGCCGTGACAGAATCCCACAGAATCTGATGTGCAAACTTTACATGGAGACACTTTATTATTCCAGACAAGCACAGCTTTCAAGATATTTGTTTTTAATCAGTGCAAACAGCAACAAAGGCTGCCTAAATGTCCTCAGGCTTAGGGAACCCATGAGCTTCAACCCCTTGAGCTTGGAGAGAGTCCCAGAAACCATCCTGCCCAGTGCAGGAGCTGCGAAATCTCTGCTTCATGGTCCATCAAACTGGCAAGAAGTGACACCGAAATACACTCCTGTTTGAGAACGTGTCGGTGCTGGAGGTGTGTGGTCCTCCTGGACAGGAGCGCTGGTTCACAACCAGACTCTGCAGGTTCTCACAGAGTTGTGTGGCCGTCACAGTTCTCCTACAGACGAGTGGAGCACGTACAGAGAAGAAACAAGTTGCTGGGATCAACACGGGATTATTGTTAGAATCATGACAAACACAAAAGGAAAATGTTGCCATGGCATATTTAGATGTAACAAAAATAATTAAAATAAGCAGGGACAGCTGATGAGTTTTTTTTTTAGTAAGAGTACTTAAAAGTTTATTACAAAGAAGTTTAAGGTCATCCTTCACTAATAAACATACAATGAAGGTAAAAACTTCCAAGTCAGACAAATGCACAGTTCTGATGATAAATGTCAAACACGTGCCGAGAGCGTGGACCTACCCAGGCTTTCTCCCAACTTTTAAGCAGCTGCTCATGCTCGCTGAGCGCACCCTTCCATTGGTTCAAATCCCTGGACGGAATATTCTCATCTGTTGAATAAACCATGCCACTTATCCATCTCTAGAGCCTGACTCAACCAATCCCAATCAAGTTCTGGATGTACCACCACTAAATTTCTTATTTATACAGGTGCTGGTCATAAAATTAAAATATCATGACAGTTTATTTATTTCAGTAAATCCATTCAAAAAATTAAACTTGTATATTCTATTCATTCATTCATTACACACAGACTGATATATTACAAATGTTTATTTCTTTTAATGTTGATGATTATAACCGACAACTAATGAAACCCCCAAATTCAGTATCTCAGAAAATTAGAATATTGTGAAAAGGTTCAATATTGAAGACACCTGGTGCCACAGTCATATCAGCTAAATTACCTCAAAACACTTGCAAAGGCCTTTAAATGGCCTCAGTCTAGTTCTGTAAGCTACACAATCATAGGGAAGACTGCTGACTTGACAGATATCCAAAAGACGACCATTGACACCTTGCACAAGGAGGGCCAGACACAAAAGGTCATTGCTAAAGAGGCTGGCTGTTCACAGAGCTCTGTGTCCAAGCACATTAACAGAGAAGCAAAGGGAAGGAAAATACTGTATGTAGTAGGAAAAAAGTGTGCAAGCAATATGGATAACCGCACCCTGGAGAGGATTGTGAAACAAAACCCTTTCCAAAATGTGGGAGAGATTCACAAAGAGAGGACTGCAGCTGAAGTCGGTGGTTCAAGAACCACCACGCACAGACATATGCAAGACATGGGTTTCAGCTGTCGCATTCCTTGTGTCAAGCCACTCTTGAACAAGAGACAGCTTTAGAAGAGTCTTGCCTGGGACGGCTGCTGAGTGGTCCAAAGTTATGTTCTCTGATTAAAGTAAATTTTGCATTTTCTTTGGAAATCAAGGTCCCAGAGTCTGGAGGAAGAGAAGAGAGGCACAGAATCCATGTTGTCTGAGGTCCAGCGTCAAGTTTCCACAGTCAGTGATAGTTTGGGGTGCCATGTCATCTGCTGGTGTTGGTCCACTGTGTTTTCTGAGGTCCAAGGTCTACGCAGCCATCTACCAGGAAGTTTTAGAGCACTTCCTGCTGCTGACCAACTTTATGGAGATGCAGATTTGAGTTTTTCCAACAGGACATGGCACCTGCACACAGTGCCAAAGCTACCAGTACCTGGTTTAAGGACCGTGATATCCCTGTTCTTAATTGGCCAGCAAACTCACCTGACCTTAACCTCATAGAAAATCATTGGGGTATTTTGAAGAGGAAGATGCAATACACCAGACAACAATTCAGAAGAGCTGAAGGCCACTATCAGAGCAACCTGGGCTCTCATAACACCCGAGCAGTGCCACAGACTGATCGACTCCATGCCACACCACATTGCTGCAGTAATCCAGGCAAAAGGAGCCCCAACTAAGTATTGAATGCTGTACATGCTCATACTTTTCAGTTGACCAACATTTCTAAAATTCCTGTTTTTTTTAATTGGTCTGAAGTAATATTCTAATTTTCAGAGATACTGAAATTATTATTTTTTTATTAATCGTCAGTTAAATCCACATTAAAAGAAAAACATTTGAAATATATCAGTCTGTGTGTAATGAATGAATATAATATACACGTTTGACTTATTGAATGGAATTACTGAAATAAATCAACGTTTCATGATACTCTAATTTTATGACCAGCATCTGTATACATGCTTTGCACACCCATGCAAAAGTAGGCCCAAATACCTCCAATAGTGAGGTGAAGGTCAATCTCAGACATGTTACTTCCTGTGCTGGCCTCAGCGACACAGTGGTAACGAGCATCTCTGATGAGTGGGCCCCCTTGGAGCCAGCTGCTCACCAGAACAGTCCTCTGACCCAGCGACTTGCGGTACTCCATTACAGGGGTGTCCAGACTCTGCCCGTTCATTAGCCAGTGAATGTGGACATCGCTTGGACCTGCAGGACAGAACCGGACCTCACGTTGATCCCTGATTGTCGAGAGGCTGACATGGAAACAGGGACACTTGCTTCTGTATAAATGGGTTTCAGAGGTTTAAACATCATGCAGACATGACGGCTTACATTTTCAGATCACATATCTCAGAACCCTTACAAGACCTTCATAGAACGAGGAGAACAGCAAACACGGTGCAGTTTACAAATTTTCATTGGATGGTATTTCTTTCCAGCTAAGAGTTGGACATGTGAGGAGGACCATGACAAAATCTTCAGCATCCTGCTGACATTACTTAAACTGTAAAAACGATTAAAACACTTACTTTATGATTGCTTTGAGAGAATCAGCTGTTTTGAAACTAAAAATAACGCATTTCAAGGGATTTGTGGCTGTAAACTGAGATAATTCAAAAGCTTCTAAAATTAGCATCTCTAAGCTTTTTATGACATTAGGGTAAAAAAATGTGCCTTTTTTATGTGAAAAAAGCATTTCACTAAATTTTAAGATCAGTTCATTTTGATTCACTTCGCATTGTTCTAAATTTTGCATTTTATTGTTTTTTTTAACTATCCAAGTCCATTTTTCTATCTTCTATTTAATAAAAGTAAGAAAATGGCTGCAAGACCAGCTTTAAAACCATTTGGCAAGTTTTATTACACCTCTCAAAAGATTCATGACAGCATTATCCTTCAGATTTATACAGATATTTCACAATACAAAAAAACATTTACAAAGATGTACAGGCACAAAAAAAAAAAAAAAAAAAAAAAACTAACAGTCGTACGATCAACTGAGGGAACTTATCAGACTGGATAAGTATATCTATAAATTTTACAAGATTCTACAACTGTCTACAGAATAATGTACAAAAAGGAACTTTTTGTTCACAACTAAGAGAAGTTGACATTTTACCAATTAGTCATGACTATTTTTTAAATCTGTCTGGTTGGTGTTAAATTGTTCAAAAATCAAATTTAAACAAAAAGCTGTTTGTTACAAATCAAACCAGGATGCACTCACTCGGTTAGTTTGGATCATGGAAACGTGCAAAGTAGAAAAAACGAGGAGTTAAAAAGGCAAGTGATGGACACAAACAGAGCATGTGCCCCAGAGGGAGGGAGTCACAGGCACTACTCACCCAGGGCGAGGCAGAAGAGCAGGAAGGACTCCTGGGCATGAACCCCCCAGGCCTGGTCCTTTAGCAAGGGGGGCAACAGCCTCACCTCAGCCTCCCAAGCCTCCACATTGTGGGGCTTGGTGGAGGAGGAAGAGGAGTGAAAGGGAGTGCTACCTCCAGAGGAGAACAGGGAGGAGGAGGTGTCTGTAGATGAGGCTGTGAGGAGGGGAGGTGATGGAAAAGAAGAAAGTTTTGAGGATGACGAGCAAAAGGAGACAAACTAAAGAGCTTCTGCCATGCCATAAATAAAATCAAACTAAATCGAAGGAAAAAAACAGCTACTTGTTTAATAAAAAGATCACCACAGATGTGTTGCCTTAAATAATGTCACAGATGTGTAATAAAACCACAATAAAAATAAAATTCAGATCGTTTCCAGGGCTGTAATGTCAAGTTCATACATTTTTATTTAATTAGTCGATCACATTAAGGGAAGATGACAGATGCAGGTTAACACACAGGCATGTCAACTTCAACAACTTTAAAATATAATAATCTCAGCAGTGCTTTTCCACACAAGACAGTGGTTGGATACATTCCAACATTTAAAAGCAAGTTGTCCACTAGTTGCTGACGTCCTTCAGCACCTCCTGGTATAGCAGCTCTGCAGACGACAACGCTGTGACAAAAGGCGATCACTTCCTGAACAACTCTTCCCTGAGAAACGACTAACGCTGAAGCATCAAGCATCACCCAAACAGCAAAAGAAAGATGTGAATGCTCCACAAGATTATTTCTCACCAGGCTGCACTGAAACAGGATTCCAATTTGGACAACATCAGAGTGGTTTACCAATTTGGTAAAGAATGTTTCCAATTTGGAATATAAGAAATGGCTTTGCTCGATCATCATAAGACCTAAAGCTGATTAGAGTTCAAGCTCCACAGCCAACAGCTGGTTGCCCAGTTGAGGTTTTTTGTGATGACAGCTTTGTTAGACGCCACACTTTCATACTGATGTTTAGCTTGTTTGCTGTGCAGACAGAAAGCGCATGTGCCAAGTTCAGTTTTTACACTGAAAAAAAACAAACAAAAAAAACAAACATGAGACAGAAGCTTCTAGCAGCAAGGTTCATCTGCATCTGCAAACTGGATGGACTGGGAGTCACAGTCCACATCGAAAGGCTTCTCCTGTGAGGGGCTGTCACTTCCAAAGCTGTGGGAGGGGAGCTGACCGTTGCCACAATCTGGTTCAGTCTCATACCCGGTGTCGCGGAGCGCCCGGAGGTTCTGAGCGGCCTGGCTGCCGTTCTGGGTCGGCTGCTCCGTCATGTTAATTTTGTCGGTTGCAGATGTTTCCATTAGGCCGGCCTCACAGGCCCTGTACTCGGGCTGATGGGAGCACTTGTGAGTGCCGAGCAGAGCGGCGCGCAGCTTCAGGCAGGGAGCGGGGAGGTACTGCATGTAGCAGTTGTACACCATCGCAGCCAAGAACAGGAGGAAGAACAGGAGAAAGAGGAAGAGGAGAGCCACGCTGTTGTTGCGCTGCAGGTACTCGGCCTCGGGTTCCCGGCTGGCTGGGTGGGGAGCGACGGAGTTCAGGGGGAGGTTCCGCTTTGGTTGAACTTTGATTGTGATGCTGGGCGGTGGGGTTAGTGATGAATCGGTTTGGGGTGGGGAGGTGAAATGGACTGTGGCTGTGAAGCTGGTCGAAGTTAGTGAGTCTCTCTGTGTTTCAATATTACCTTCTGCTGCGTACACGCTACTTTGCTCCTGGCTGCTCAGGGTGCGGGTTGCATGGGTCGACTGGGGTGGAGGTGGAAGATCCAGTTTCACCACGTATCTGACCAGAAGGCGGGTGAAGTTCTTCCCAACAGCAGGAACCCACTCTATGGACCAGCACTCGTAATGTCCTTGGTCCTCGGGAGCCACGCTGTAAACGAGGAGCCCGTTTTCGGCTATGAAGTGGAAGCGAGAGGCCTCACTGAGAACAGAGCTGTTAAATTTCCACATCACATGGGCCAGGTTGGAGTTTACCAGGCAGGGCAGCTCTGCAGAACTCCCTGGTTTCACCAACACGGACTGGTAGTCCTTCTGAGGCACTAAAGAAGCAAAGAAACAAAATGTGACTCATGAATATTTAAAACCAATTAGAAATTAAGAACAGACAACACAATTAAAAGCAGGGAAAAACTAAATAAAACAACTTTATAATGGCAGTTATGTGATCCAAACAAATACACTGGATATTTTTAGGTAAAAATGACACATTGGGATTCAACACCAACACTGCATTCTTTGTCTTTTTACCGTTTAGGCTCTAAAGCTGTTTTTTTTTAGGTTAAATACAGGCACCTTTATTCTCACCTGTAGGACACTTGTCTGCATCCCCATTCAAACTCTGGATTAGCTTCCTGCAACACAAACATGACCTCCATCAGTTTGAACTATGCAAACAATCTGCGATGACATCTAGCATGAGCCCGTTGAGCAGGTCCGACTCGTAGAGTCATCAGTTTAGATGTCTCTCTGTTTAGTTTTCACTGACCAGTGCAAACATGCATGAGTGGAGTACCGCCACGTAGAGAGATAAGAGTTATAAAATCAGAGTGAACGTTTCAGTTACCGAAGCCTCTGCCTGGGTGTGTCGAGGATGTTGACACAGGCCGCAGCGTTAGGGTCCCAGGCACAATAGGGGTCTCGAGCCAGGACACAGTCATCGCAGGACAAATACTTTCTACAGAAAGCTGTGGGTGTCTGGACCACACCTGAATCAGACCCGGCATACACCGACCTTGTCTATAAGAGAAATAAAAGGAACTTAAATATGAAGAAAAAAAAACAGACTCAAGACTGTGTGGGTGCTGCTCACACCACATTTACTTCACACATATTCACCAGTTTGACTCAATGACTACCTCCCTCTGTGGCTCAGAGGCATAACAGCAGCATGTTGACTTCAATCTTCCTATGTCAGCTTGGTTAATACATAAAGCACCCAAGATGTGAAGAAAGGCAACTAAAGCCTAGATTGAAAGTATTTTTTTTAACAAACTTTAGTTACCCACTAAAAATAGGCCTTAACCCTCAAAAAGCACTTGAAAATGACCCGAGAACAATAAGTAAGTACGTAGGTTGAATAAATCACAAGACATGGTCCTGAACATGACAAACATACTGAGATGATACAATTAGGACTAGAAAAGTTAAACAAAGCATTGCAATTTCTATCTGTAGCCTGTCTTTTAATTATGTCTTCTTAGACCTGTCACGATAACTACATTTTGCTGGACGATAAATTGTCTCAGAAATTATTGTGATAAACGATAATATTGTTTGAAATTTGACAATAAATTTGTAATTACTGTCAAATTTAAGAAGAAATGTTGGTTAATTTGTTTTGAGTGTAGTACCTTTTTTCAACCACCGGATGACAGTATAATACTGTTTGAACCGAAGGATGGATAGTGAGGGAGCGAGTAGCGTGCCTATAAGAAAAATGGGAGGGAGGCCACTTGACGTGGCATGGGCTGCCTCTCTTCGGGTCTCAAAATGGCGGACGTTCAGTGTGGTTTGAGCTCTTTAGCATAGCATTTTTTACACAAAGCTTTTAATAAAAAAAATATTAAAAAGTAAAGTTCTCAGCTTCTTTTTAGACGAAGGCACGGGTTTCAATCGTAATTTTTGGAGCTTCGACAAGACAGAGGTTTTTTCCTGAGGTCGGCCTGTTAGCTTAGCTTGTAGCTTAGCTTCTCAGCTTATCTGCTTTTAACGATCCAAAAACGAGATTTTGGGACGGTGAAAATTTATTTTAAATAGCAAAGAGAAAGGGAGGAGTCAGTGAAGAGCACCGGAGTTGAGCCTTTTGTCATCCAGTGTCTTCAGTAGAAAGAGAGATGCAAAGAAACGATAAAGCCGATAAATGAAAATAAGGTCGATATTTTTCATTTTTCATTTATCATGCGATTAATTGATTTATTGTTTATCATGACAGGCCTATGTCTTCTAACAGATACGTAACAATCTGAGCGAGCCCTCAGCCAAAAACATCTTTAGTTGCATTTAATTATATTACAATCCTGCTATTTAGCAGTTGTCGTGCTGGGCATTCTCACTTAAAGTGTTACAAGAGGAAACATTGCCTGAGCTTAAAAAAAATACAAAATTTACCATTAAAAATGTATTTTCTGCTCATATTTATTTTGTTTAAAAAAAAAACATTGACCTTTGAAGAAAGAAGTAAACTCTTGATTGGTTCAGAGTTCTTCAAGAGCTGGATCTCCTCCACAATATGAACCTCTTCCTGTAATACCACAGACTTGTGTAGGACTCCTTTATCTAAAGATGAAAATGGCAAAACATTTAGTTATTCCAGGTAAAGCCAGAAAAGCCAGGCTTTGCAATTTTTCTTATGCTAAGCCAAAAGATCGAAACTCTCTGTGTCTCTGACTAAGTTATGTACCTGTTCCAGTGAAGATTACATCATAAATGTTGCCATCGAGCGCTTGAATCTTTTCCACGACAAGCTGGGTGTAATTGACATCTTTGGTGATGAGCCGAGGCCTGTTGCCGATGGGCAGGACGGGATCCTCCAGCAGGGGGTGGTCCTTAACAAACTGAAGGGTTTTGTCAGGCAAATGGAGTGAGCTGTTGATGTTCTGCTGACGCATCAGGTTGGTAATACACTGGAATGAAAAACAGAAAAATCATGTTATAGTTAGACAAGAGATGTCAACGATTGGCTCCTACTTTTACCGATATTCTCCGGAAATTTAAGTACGGTAAGTGTGAATTATTGCTCAGCTTAGCTTTTGTGTAAAAGTTTGGACAATCCATCGTTGAGTCTCAATAATCAGGTACTTACCGCTCCAGGACGTGGAGAAGGAGTGATGCCGTTGTACCGCACCCACTTGGTGTGAGATTGCTCCACTGTGGCCTTCTGCATATACTTTCCTTTGGAGAAGACTTCCTCCACAGCTGTCATGTTGTAGGCACACACAGCTGACAAACCTACGTTACCCCTGTAGGACCAAAGATAAAAGTCAGACAAAGCAATTTGAAGAAGCAAAGAAAAACAATAAATAAATAATAAATGTATGTAAAGGCACTGCCTTAAACTGCCGTGTAGGTTTCACTGACCACTGAGAAGTGAAGACTCCATAGAAGACCGTATCTCTCCCGTCTTTCCCCTTCAGGATGAAGATGTCATGCACTACATTAAAAACAAAGTTCAGCTCAGGCATGGAGCACACCAGCTTGGCTTTCAAAAAGGACGTCCACTTCTTCTGCAGGGTGCGCTGACCCCCAAGGTCTCCCTGGAAAAGGGCAGATGCAGACATTATGCATCAAGATAATAAAAAATAATAAAAAATATGTGGAATGGCAGGTCAAAAAGGTTCATAAAACTAAACGTTTTCCACTTAAAAAAATTGTGGCGAACTTAATTTAAGAAGACATGTCAGGGACATTTAAATGGTGAGATGGTTTGGGTGCTTTTACACATCGATCTGATTGATTGCTCATTACCTTTTAGTAACGCAACTATAAAGTTTTCTAAGCTGAATATTTAAAAAAAAAAGAAAAAAAAGAGGAAAAATTTAAACTTTTAAGTCTAGTTACATGCTGCCTCACCTTACATGTCAGGGAATATCAGCAGATATTAAGCCTGAAACAGCCATCAAAGCTTTTTTTTTTTTAGCAAATAAACAACAGGAAGTTAGGAAATTAAGATGGCTGCTGCTGGTGTGTGCAGATGGTGCACAGTAGGTACTGACCTTACAGACGCGAGCCACCCTGGGAATGAGCAACTTGCCAAAGAATTCATACTCCACTGACACCTCAGTGAAGAAGTAATAGATTTTGTCGTCCTCGCCAGCTGCCCTGTTCTTCCCTTCTCTGATTACATTGGCAAAGACAAAGCTGGGTTCTACAATGAGAGCACAGAAGGGCAAACAGATAAAGATATCAGTAAAAGCACCGCAAAAATTAAACAATTATTTCAATTAAAAATGATCAACTAGACTAAAATGGGAAAAACACCTAAATCCAATCTGTTGCATGTCAATAACAGTTTCAAACTATTACTTTATTTTATTTTAAAAACAAAAAAAAAAACAACAAAAAAAACAGCTCATCTTTCTGTCAGAGTGATGAAGTACTACCGGTTCTGTTTGACTGGCAGAGTTCAACTTGCAAAGAGCACCAGACACGTTTAATTTGGCCTGCAAATCAAGTTTTCTTAAAGACTTATTTCAGAGAGCTCATAGTTTAGCAGCCATAACAGCATCATTTTGACCAGTGGTCATCACCGAGTAAAAAGAAGTTATTATCTGTAAACTGCTGCTCACTATCATTTAGAAAAAGAAACCCCCTTTTTATTTGTAGTATCAGAACCTAATCGCCCACACGCTGCATGTGTGGGATGCGAACAAGTAATGCAGCTCAAGGTGGAAAAACAAAAAACTAAATCAGATTCATACCCACCTACTAAAACATGTCCTGTTTAGTCTCCAAACCAATTCAGTTGTCAGAGGAATACCCATCGCAAACCTGCCAGGATAGACTCACCATTAAGCCACGATGTGGAGTACTCCGTCCTCAGCAGAGACTGGGAAGGTGAGTATCTGGAAATAATTGGTTCACTGCCCAAGAAGTTATAAGCTGTCCCAGAATACAACTCTCCATCTGATGGAAAACGTAAAGAACAACGCTGAGTTTTCCTCCACATATGGAGAGAAATTACAGATTAGTTTGCATTTCAAAGCAAGACATTTCTCTGAAACGAGACAAAACTGGCCTCAACTCACCAACCATGACAGTCGTGAAGCTTTGCGATGGGTCAAAAGAACACTTCCCTCTCCCATCTTCAGCCTGACCCGCTAAAGAAAAGTCATCAAGATTCTGAAAAAGATCACAATAAGGTTAAAGGTCAAGACGTAGACTGGCAGGTCCAAACATGATTGCGCAGCCTGGTGTTCACCTACTAAATAATCACACTGAGGTTGAAAAGCATGTGTGCCACAGACGTAAAGCCGCTCATGGTCTACAGCTTGGAGGACTCGGATGTAGTTTAGACAGTCTCTCTGAAATGGAGCAGTACAGACTTACTGGTAAGTACTCTTTAAAAAATACACATAAAACCACTTTAAAATACAGAATGAATCATCAAACCTCTTTAGATTTTCCTTTAAGTGTGCACATGTTCATGTGGTTCTCTGTCACTGTCCATTGAACCTTCAAAACATAACCACAATCAACTATGAAGGAAGTAGCAACTTAAAAAAAAAACTCTTTGAAAGTGTTCTTCTTTTGTGGTTACCTTTTGGTTTTTGACCGTCACGTTCTTCTTGCTGAGCTCAAAGATGGCCTCTCTTGCTCCCACATACAGAGCGTCTCTTTCCTCACTCAGCAGCAGCGTGGAGTAGTTGAAAATCCCAGGCTCTGAAAACTCCAGAAGATCTACATCTGACAATCAAATGCAAATTTTGATTAATTAGATCTGCATTAAAACTGTGTTCAGAATTTAAGTCAAGCTTGTTGTCTATATACTCCTTGAATCGCCACCTTATCGTGGTAGAGGAGTCTGTGCACCTGAGTAGTCCTAGGAGCTCTGCTGTTAAGGGCAATTGTAATTGCCCCTGGTTGGGTCTCCCAAGGCAGATCAGTTCTAGGTGAAAGACCAGACTAAAAGCAATTCCAAAAACTCAAATGGACAGAAAGCAACAAGGAGCTCAGTGTCCCATGCCAGTACGTCGGTTACCGGGGCCACACCCTGGAGCCAGGCCTGGGGCTTGTCAGCAAGTGTTTGGTGACTGGATCTTTACCCATGGGGATCGGTCAGGCTCAGCTTGAACGGGCAACAAGGGTTTGCTGTGGGACCACCATCGGCAGGAGGGGCCATATATGTCGGGTGCATGACTCCATGGGCAGTGGCCGAAGGCGGGGGCCTTGGCACTCTGACCCTGGCTTACCAATGCTGGCTCTTGGGACATGGAACATAACTTCTCTGGTGGGGAAGGAGCCTGTGTGTGAGGTTGAGAGGTACCAACTAGTTATAGTTGGGCTCACCTCGACGCACAGCATGGGCTCTGGAGCCAAGCTCCTTGAAAGGGGATGGACCTTAATCGTCAAGCTGGTGTGGGTCTACTCTTAGCACCGCTGACTTGGTGCCTGTCGGGAGTGTTCCCCAGTAGATAAGAGGGTAGCTTCCCTGTGCCTTTGGGTTGGGGGTTGGGCTCTGATGGTTGTTTGTGCCAATGTGCCAAACAGCAGTTCAGAGTATCCAGCGGACGGACGGATGTTTGTACAGTTTGTATTTCTGCTGAGGTTTGAATGCCAACACAAATATATGACAATCGTCTCCAAGCGAGGCATGAAAGAGATTGAAAATAGACTGATGATGACTGGGATTTAATGGTTTGCTGATATAGTCTAAGCTATGAAAAACAAGCTAAGAACTGTAATAGAATCAAAATGCCAACAATGTTGAGAGCTGAAGAAAGTGGAAGAATTTTAGGTGAATGTGTGCGACAAATAAAAGATAACATGAATTAGTGATGTTTACCATCCCTATGGTTTCAAAGAACTGTTTCAGCAAACAACAAAGTCCATGCTCAATAATCCAGGTATACAATCCAACATTTTTCAGTCAGGTCATCTGAACAGTTTCTTTTTTTTGTGATGAAACGTTTCACCTTCGATCCGGTAGGATCAGCAATGTTTCAGCAAAGTTTTTTTTTTTTAATGAATAAAATAACCTTTTACTGATATGAAAACACTGAGCAAATCCAGAAGCTATTACGTTTTAATAACGGCTGGTTTAATAAAAAAAAAAGAAATCACACCATCTGAGATTCTTTTACAGGATCAGGAACATGGTTCTACTCTCTCAGACTGAATTAACTTGCTCCACTACATGTTGTGTTTAATGGAGAATTTGTGTTTGAGCAATACAGGTTGTGCCAGGTGCATGCGGGTTCAAATTGCAGATGCAGATTATGAACGCTACAGTGACAAAAGCAGAACAGCCTCAGTGACTAACTGAAGCAGACTCAGCTACAGGAACTAATTAAAGGATGATCTGCTCTCGTCGTTTTCACACGGAGAGACCGAGTTACTCGACACGTTTCTAAAAACTTCCATCTCGTAGAATGCTGGACTTATTTGATCGCTAGAGGTGAAGCTAAAGGCGGTTTCACCAGATGATATCAGGCAACAGGTGAAACCACATATACTATTGTGAACAGGATGCACTGAGCTGACACAAAGGCCGTGTGAAAGTTCTGTTCCCCTGTACTGAACTTTAATTATTGGCTCACATTTCTTGGTTTGAAATTACTTGAACTTAAAGATGCTGGTCATCATGAACAATGCTACTTCCTGTCTGCAACTTTAGAGAAGTTTTCAATCTACATCACGTAGGGCTTTTTGGAGAACAGTTACCATAAATGAGGAACTACGATGACATTTCTAAATTTCACCGTTTAAAGGTTAACTATCAAACAGATTTAACGTCTTCCTTGCTCACTCGATACTTTAATTGAACTTTGAGTTTGTCATAACAGCCAATTATTAACCGTTTAACACTCAGAATATTGACTGTGCTGTGTCTTACCTTGGTGTTTCCAGGAAGTTCGAGGAACAGCGTGGGGTCCATGGGTGGAGACCTCCAGCAGCAGCCCCAGAAACACTCCCAGCACACCAAATCCCATATTAGACTCCGTTAGCTTTGGAACAGTGAAGTTTCCCCTGAAAGAGCCAGAACCAAAGCAGCACATTTATATCTGCACAAACCAGACCCAGAACAAATGTGGAGGAGTTCTCCCTGGGTTAGGGTGCATCGAATCGAGATCTCTCGTGCAGAAAAGGGGACAGGGTTTTTGCTTTTAATTCCATGTGATGTGTCACAAGAATTTTGGAATTAAATTAGCAAACATACTTTGGAACAAAGAAGGGGAATAACACTTCAAAACAACTAAAGCATGCAAAAATGTGCTTTCACAGTAACAATACTGACACTTTTCTGTGCAACAGTTGATCAGTAAGTCTTTTTTTAAACCAAAATGGCTATTTGTTGCTTCTTTTTTTTTTTTTTCCCTAAATGAAAACATTGAAATATGACAACCATTTCCCTTTAAACAAACAAAAAAGCACTTTTAAAATATTGCTTGTGTCTCAGAAACAATGGGATTGAGATTTACAGTCATTTCTGAGTTAATTATACCATACCATACCACTTTATTTATAAAGCACTTAAAACAGCAACAAGGCCAACCAAAGTGCTGTACAGACAAAACAACAGGTAACACACAAAGCAAAATACAAAATGAGGTAAATCAGAATATAGACAAAAAACGATGCAGATAATGACGACAAACCAGTGTAGAGCATACAGGATCAAAACACAGATCATCTTGTGTTGAAAGCTATTGAATAGTAGTGATTATATATCATACTACAGTCTAAACTTTAAACGCCAGCTTGGTTATGAAACTCAAAACTTATAGAAACTGAATTCTTGCAGCTCTGAGTCAC